GAGGGGATGAGTGTTACTAAGACATCAGAACTAACAGAACTCAGTACCTAATGGAGTATGTGAACAAAGGGCAGGAGCAAACCTAAAATGGCTTCCTGGTCTCTAGCTCAGGCAAAATGGCTACCGTGCCAGGAACCAAATCTGGAACAGGAAAAGGAGGAAAACTAAGCATATGAAAACTGTGCGATTCCTTTCATAGTTTACAGAATTAAAACTTAACCATAAAGCAAGATATTGCATTAATTAAAGTAGAGTAAATTAATAAAAAGGACAGTAATCATTGTTGCAGGGTATGGGGTTTGGGGGAGGAGACACACTAACACATTGCTATCCCGCAACCTGGTGGAATCATTCCGAAAAAAAATTTGGCAACAAATGTAAGAGCCATAAAAATTATCATGTACTTTGACCCAAAAGCCCAACATTCTGGAATATAGCCCAAGGATGTAATTCAAAAGAAATAAAAAACCTATTTGTATAAAGATGTTTATAGCTGCACTATATATTACAGGCGAAAACGGGAAACAGTCCAGATGCCCAACAGTGAGGGAACACTTAGGCAGACTTTGGTATATTAATGCAATGGAATATTTTATTGCTATTAAGAATGACAAATATGAGAACTATGTAGAAATATGGAAAGGGCAATATAAAACAATGAGTAAAATATGCAGAACTCAAAATGATGCATATACAATGATAACAACTATGTAAAATTACATCTGTATAACCAGGAGGATTGGGAAAGACTGCAGAACTGGTAATTTAGAGTGCTGACATTTTTTATACTGTTGGTTAAATTGCTGGGAATGTTTATGTGTTTCAAGTTATATTTCACTGTGTATTTAGTGCATAGACATTAAAAAAGATAAATCTTCATTTTTTTTCTTGCACATAAAAGAAAAAAAAGTGCTCATGAGTACCTTTTGTTGCCTAAGTGACTTTTTTCTAGTGTCTTGATTCCTGTTAGTTCTTAGGTATATGAGGAAGTTGACCCCACTTCTTGCCACCACATCTGTCCCTAAGTATTGAGTTCAAGCTTTTTACTGACAGCAAGCCAGCATTAGGTACTGATATTTATACCATGGACACAAACTGGAGTGCCCTCACTATGCCCTATGCATCTCCTCCATATAATTTTAAATCTCTGACACAGAGTGTTTTTATTCTTATCATCTATTACCCCATGGAACTGCCCCTGCACTTAATGAAGACTCATCCCTCTGGATTCCATTTCTTCTAAGCTTAAAGGACTTCACACTTTGGCTATATCCTTCTTCTCTTGTATCATTGAGTTCTTTACTCCCGGATGAGTTTCATCAATGTAAAAAATTATTCACCATAAAAAATTATTATTCATCAACATAAAAAATTAAATGCCATCCCTGGCTCCACATCTCCCTTCATTTTTCTACTCTCCTTCATAGTAAAAATTCTACTGAGTTGTCCACATAATTGTTTCTTTTTTTTATTAAGATTTATTTACTTGTACATACAAGAACTGGGGTACAGGCCAGAGGTGCAGGGGGTGAGAGGAGTCACCAGAGACAGAGTGAGGAACAGAACAGGCAGACTGACTAAAATACACTGCTGAGGGGTGCAGCCAGTGAGACAGGAGAGGTCTGCTGTGCATTGTGGGTAGCTCCCTGGCTGGGGATCAAATTCATGCTGCGGAGGCTGCGGACAGCTTCACAGTGCTATGCTTAACTCCTTGCACCACCAGAGAGGCCTCCCACATTATTGTTTCTAACTTCTCACTCTTCATTCACTCTTCAAACAAATGTATGTGACTTCTGTTTCCATCGCTCCACTAAATTTTTTCTCAAGGTCGAGAACCTTCATGTTGCTGAATCCAATGGCACTTTTCAGTCCTGTTACTTGACTTCTAGGCCTCCCAACAACTCTCCCTCCTTACTTAAAACTCTCTTTTCTTGGTTCCTGTGATATCTCATTCCCTCCCTTCCTCTCACTTCTGGGGGCATTCTTCTTTCCTACATTTCTAAATGTGGAGTTGCTCTGGACTCTGATTCTGTCTCTTTTCTTTTTATATTGTCCCCAACTGATCTCCCTGATTCCAGGAACCATAAATCCCATTTGCATGCTAATGACACCCAGAGGGAATATTTCTAGCAGAGACCTTCATCCGCTGAATAATAGTCAATGATATACTGGACATCTCCATCTAGACTAGTGCACAATAAACATACGATGAAAACTGAAATCATGATATTCTTTCCAGAATCAATTATTTCCCCAGACTTTCCTTCTCAGCACTGCACACCTCGTCACTTACACATTCCTATGTCACATCACCATACACGTATCCAGTACATCACTGAGTTCACGGATTCTACCTGGAGCAAGGTATTCCATTGCCATGGCCCTCACCCTGATCCCATCGCTTTTCCTCTGAATTACAGCTGCACGCTTCTTGATGATTTCCCGGCTTCCTCTCCAGTCCATTTTAGATTGAGTAGATAAAGCATACCATAAGGAAGCAAAAGTCTGTTACCCCAAAATATAACTTTTTGGCAAATGGTTGATTTCATGGGTCAGGCTCCAAAGGCTAGGTGGAGGTTCCTTTTGAAAAAGGCATGTATGTGTAAGCTTCTCTCTATAAGGGACTCTCCCAGGAAGACCTGATCACCTTATCTCTTTCAGAAGGAAAGGCAGAACTTAAATCTGCATACCTTTGTTTAGTGCCTTCCTTCTTAAATTCTCTGACTGACCACCCCTTTCCTGCCCTCCACCCCCTTATTTGGATAAGCTACTGAAGATGGTGTCTGAAGTCATGTGATAAGTTACTCAGTTTTACTGGGTTTCCCCAGAGGTATACATGTTACCATTTAAGCTTCTATTTTTTTCCTTAATTTTTTTCTTTAACCAATTTACCTGATGCTTGCTTGATTATTTGCTAGCCTAGAAGAACCCAAAGGGGTACAGAATGATTTCTTTTGCCTCCCAACAATACTTACTTACATAGCAAATTAAATTATTTTCCTCTTCAGTTTAAAAAGATCCAATATCTTTCCCACCACATAAGTCCTTGTACTACATCTATAAGCCCCTATAAAACATGATCACTAATTATTTATCTAGATATTCCTTTCATCTTGGTCCTCCTTTCATCCTCAGAACCCTTTTATATTATATATTATATCATATTATATTATACTATATTATATTATACTATATTATATTATATTATACTATATTATATTATATTATATTATATTCCCCATTCCTAACACCTGTTGCTTAAGAACATTTGCATAATGAATGGCTGATTAGTATAGGGTCAGGCTACTACGAGAACATCCTGAGTCTCATGGAATACATTAATAAAATCATTAAAGTAAATTAAATTACCATACACATGTGATTATTATCCTGTAATTATAACATGTAGAATAAAACCAACCTCTCTATCACCACTTCACACATGCACGCACGCACACATACACACACATAGTAACTTCAAAGGACTTAAAGGGAAGCTTATAGCTGCATTTGTGGGTGAGGCCCATGTCATGAAACTGTTCTGTGAGAAAAAGAGGAAGTTAATCCTGACAGAAAGGGAGAAAAGAGAAGGGCAGGGAAAGGACAGAAGGAGAAACAAGGGTTGGGATACGTTTTATAAATGAAAATGCCTAAAATTAAATTTTGAGTTGTTAATGTTGTTATAATCTTCTGCTTCCCAAACCTTCACTAGTTTAGATTAAGAATCTAGAAAACTTAAATAAGGGACCAGGAAAATGAATATAAGAAAGTGAAAATCAAAATCAACAAAAAACTATAAACCAGAGACACTTTTTGGGGGGTGGGGGGCGGGAGGGGAAGGATTGGGGTCAGAATGGGGCGTTTGCAATTGTATGGGGGAATATAAAAATAAAATTTATTATTTAAAAAAAATAAAATAAATAAATATTTGGTTAAGTCCACCCATGAAAAAAAAAAAAAAGAATAAACCACCACAAAGGGGAGAGAGTTACAAGAGCCATCAGCCACAGAGGCCAGACAGGAGGTTGGTCAAAGATTTCTTGATCCTAGGACATTTCTGTTTATACTTGTATTGCATTTATCTAACTTCACTTGGTCTCTGTACTTCACTGGAAAATGTCTTACTCATCTCTGAAGGAACTCATCAATTGCAGGAGGAACCATACCTACCCCAGAGTGACATGAGGCCACATAAAAGATGTGCCTTGGAGTATACAGAGTTCCAGACAAGCTCCCGACTCTCCTGGGGGTATTGTTCCCACGCTTCCTGCTCCAGTTACATCCCCACTTTGGGTCTTGGATTCAACATAGATCTTCAACCTTCTTCATGCCATTCCCTCAGACATGCCCTCTGACCCTACATAACTGTACCCAACCTGCAAAGTTCTCCCACTTATTCAATCTGACCTGGTGCACAGCCTCTGAGTCAGAGACCACTTAACACAGTGTCTCATCTACAATCAGTGCTTAAACAAAATTCTTAGTAGATTCAGTCAAAATTAAAGAAATCAGGTGACAGCAATTCTCAGGATATCTGCTAATAAACCTCTACACTAAACTACACTTTAATCTACAGGTATTTGAAGTGTTTAATAACTTTTTAGGTCAGCTCCACTGGCCAGGAGTCTGTCAAGCTTCACTTTCTATAAGAGGTCACAAAAAAAGTAGATAATATTTTGCCTTTAAAATATACAAAATGATGCCATGAAAAACTGTAATGTTAAATGTGCTTTTTCAAAGAACGCATTCCTTCTAGCCTATCCTGGAGATGATGTAACCCCACCCAACCCCACCATGTCGTGGTAACTGTGGAAAGCCTAGAGAAATTAGAAGTGTTTCCACTGATTGATGGAAAATCCCTGTTTTAGTTGGAGAAACCACTACAGAAAAAGTCTCCCCATCTTTCTTAAGTCTGGAAATAACCAGGAAAAATACAAATTACATTAACTTATTACATTTAGAAAACAATGCTATAAGAACAGCTAAATAATCTGACCTACCCATCTAGGAGGGCGATGACATTCTTCCTGGGCCGCCCAATATTAGGGCCATACAAGCTGGCTCTGGAGTAAATCCGGATGGGCTGCAACAGGCTCTTCAACTGGATGTAATCCTTTCCCAACTGGCTGCCATTTACTGCCCGGCCATGCATGGTCCGATAGTTATTTGGCTCTAGATTAGAAGCAGACATGCAAGTCAGAGTTGAAAAGGGGGAGGCTTTGCCAACCCTTTCCTTTCCACAGATCGCTCTGCCTTTTTCTTAATGTGAATATAATAACCAAACAGAGGGTGTGAGCTCGCTGAACTTGAGGAACCACCTTAACAAAAACTCAGGTGCCATCTAACTGTTCTATTCATTTTTAAAATAATCTTCATAAAAGGGCACCTAATTCACATCACAGAGACCAGACTGATTTTCAGGTGATACTCTACAGTGCGTGGTATATAGGTTGTAATAGTGTCCTCCAAATTCATGTCTACTCAGAATCTCAGAATATGACCTTATTTGGAAATAGAGATTTTGAAGATATAATTAGTTAAAATGAGATCATATGGGTGGGGGTGTGTCCTAAATTAAATTTAAGAGAAAGGAGAGGGAGGTTCAGGTGCAAGACACAAGGTAGAAGGTCATGTGTCAAAGCTGGCAAAGACTGGAGGGATGCAGTTATATCAAGGATTGCTAGCAACTACCAGGAGTGGAGGGAGAGGTTTGGGATAGATTCGCCCTCAGTCTGCAGAAATCAACTCTGCCGATGCTTTTATTTTGGACTTCTGCTTTCTGAACTGAGGGAATAATTTTCTGTTGTTTTAGTCTACTGAGTTTGTCATTTGTTATGAGGAGCAGGAAACAAATAAAAATGGGAAAAATAAAAGTTTCATAAAGAGGGTCATTGTACCAAAAAGTTTAAAGAAATATAATGTTCAATAATAGGAAAGTGGCTGAGTGAAATCATTTTTAGTAGAACCCACTTTCTATACCCAGTGTCTATTAACTTAGTAGTTCTAAAAAGGGAAAGAAAGTCCTAAAAAAAAAATCTTAGGGGGCAAAGTTGATTTAAATTGAAGCATGTGCCCCAGGGAAGGTTAACACTTAGCTAGCTTGAAGCTGTGATACTGGTAGGACAAGTAATAGACCTACAGACATGTTAAAAAAGTGAACAGAGAGATTTGGGGATTAAGACAGCTATAGTGGGCTTGATAAACTCACAGTTGGCTCTTCCAGCCTAGAAGGCTGTGTGTGCTCTGGAGTGAGTAGAGAGGGTACCAGCTAGCCATACGTTCCCAGGTGAATATGAAACCTACTACCTTCATAAAGGAGAAAGCATGCTGGAAAGTAAAATATGGTCAGACTTATAAACTACCTAAATTTTTAATGTGTCCCCCAACTCACACACACTGGTAGAGGGGATAAGCCCTCTCCTCAAGGTAAGCACAACCCTGATCAATCATTGTCTAATACTAAGCTATATTTGCTCAGGGACATCCTGCGACAGGGTTTAAAAAAAATTAAAGATTGAAAAATAAAATATTTAAGAGGTATCAGCACGTACATGTTGCAAGGGAGATAGACTCTATATAATTAGTCCAGGTAAAACTTTAAACAAGCAGACAAGAAACAACAAAACAACCTCTGGGATAAAGGATTCAGAATCCAGAGTTGCTCCAATACATTATGTGAGACGTGCAGTTTGCAACAACAAAAAAATATAGCATATAAAGAAATAGAAAATATAAGAGCATGTTCCATAAAAGTGAGAGGAGGGGCAGTTAATAGAAACTGTCTTTTAGGTGACCCAAACATTGGATTTATCAGACGAGGACCTCAATAACTGCTATTTCAAATATTGTCATAGTCCTAAAGGGGAGAATAAAAAACTAAAGGAAAGCATGATGCTATTGACTAATCAAAAAGGCATATAAATAGACAAAAGTTATAAAAACATTAAATAGAAATCTTGGAACAAAAATGACTCTTTATATGCAGGGTAACACAGTGAGGCTTACAGCTGAATTCTTACCAGAAACAATGGAAGCTGGAAGACTGAGATGACTCAAAATGTTAAAAGTAAAAGACAAAAAGTTAACTGAGAATTCTATATGCAGCAAGTTATCCTTCAAGACTGAAAGTAAAATTTAGATCTTCCTAGAAAAACAGAGGATGAAATTTGTGAGAAAATCTGCCTTACAAGAGATAAGATCAGGAAGTCTTTAGGAGAAAGGAAATGACAACTTCCAGAAAATGGGGGAAAAGGGAACATTTGAGGCCAGTATTCTCTGATACAACAACCTGCAAAGACATCATAAGGAAAACAAATTATAAATTCCTCATAAATATAAATCTAAAACTGGCCCCTAAAATATTTACCAACTGAATCTACCAGTATTTTGAAAGTATTATACATCATAACAAGTAGAAATTATACCAGGAAAGTATGGTTGATTTAATATCAAAACCCAACTAATGTAAAATAACACACTGGTAGAATAAAAGACCAAAACCACATTATCATCTCAAAAGATGTAAATATGAGCATCTGACAAAATCCAAATCCCATTACTGATCAATACTCTGAACAACACCACATAGTGGGGAACTTCCTCTTGATGAACATATCTAAGAGAATACCACATATTTAGTGTGAGACACTTTCCTAAGATTGGAAACTAGAGAAGGAAGTGTGTTTTTGCCACTTAACTCCACAATATATGAGAGGTTCTAGTCAGTGTAACCAAGCAAGGAAAAAAAATAAAAAGCATCTAAATTGGAAAGGAAGAAGTAAAACTGTCATTTATTCTCAGACAACATATTCTGAAGAATTCACACACGGGAAAAATACAAGATCTAAAAAAAATATGTTCAACAATATTGGGAGGATTAAAAAAAAGCCATGTATAAAATCAATTATATTTCTAAATACTATCAATGCACAATACAAAAATGAAATTAAGAAAGGAGATCCACTCACAGTTACATCAAAAAATAAAACTTTTAATAACAAATTTAACAACAGACGTACAAAACATGCACTGAAAATCACAAAACATTTCAAGAGAAATTTAAATTTCAATAAATGAGGAGAAAAATCTATGCTCATGGATTGGACTATTCAATATTGTTAAGGTGGCAATCTTTCTACACTTATCAATAGATTCAAGGCTATGTCTATCCAGCAGGCTTTACTGAAGACATAACAAGCTGATCTTAAGATTTACATGGACATACAAACACCCAGTATAGCCAGAACAGTTCTGAAAAAGAACAAATCTAGAAATTATAACTTCCAGTCTTAACACTCATAAGGCTAATTATAATGAAGGCATGTAGGCACAGCAAAAGTATAGATATAAAGATCAATGAAACAGAATTAAGAGCCCAGAAGTAAATACATTTATGATCAACTGATTTTTGCTATAAGTATCAGGAAAACTGAATGGGGGAAAGAATAGTAGTTAAAATAAACATTACTAGGACAACTTGAGATCCACGCAGGCTCAAAAATAAATTCCCAATGGATCTATGTTCATATGTAAGAGCAAAAGCTATAACCCTTTTAGAAGAAAATATAGGAAAAGCATTCTGTGTTCTTGGGTTAAGCAAAGCTATGACACCAAAAGCACAATCCATAAAATTTAAAAATTATAAATTGAATTTTGTCAAAAGCCAAAACATCTGCATGTCAAAGGATGCCATGAAGAAAATGCAAAGATAAGCTACATACTGGGAGAAACTATTGGCAAATCATATGTTTAATGAAGAACATGTATCAAGAATATAACCAAAATCTTGCATCTCAATAATAAGATAACACAAACAAAAAGGCAAAGATTTGAGTAGACATTTCACCAAAGATTTAAGAAGGGCTAATAAACTTAGTAAAGAATGCTATTTCTTTAGTTATTAGGCAGGTACAAATTAAAGCCACATTAAAATAATACTTTGAATCCACTTAAATGTTTATAATTTAAAAAATGGCATGCAATAACATGTGTTTCCAAGGATACAGAAAAACTGGATCCTTGGGAAACAGTTTTGCAGTTTATTAAAAAAAAAAAAAACAGATTATCCATAAGAATTAATAACTCTTTTCCCTTCCCAGGTATCTTCCGAAGAGAAATGAAAGCACTTATCCACACAAAGACTTGTATGTAAATGTTTATAGCAGCATTGCTCATCATAGCCAAGAAGTAAAAACAACATAAATGCCTGTCATTTAGGTGAGGAGAAAAGCAAAATGGGGTCGATACCCACACACTGGATCACTAGTAAGCAATAAAAAGGAATGCACGACTTTTACATGCTACAACATAGATAAGCCCCCAAAACACATGAAGGAAGTCAGATGCAAAAGGCTACAGAATGTATGATTCTAGTTGTATGAGCTGTCCATAAAAGACAAGTCTACAAAGACAGAAAGCAGATTAGTGTTTCCTGGAGCTGGGAATGGTTATAGGAATCGCCTGCAAACTGGCACAAGGGATAATTTGGGAGTGGTGCAAAGGTTCTGAATGTGAAATGTGGAGATGGTTGTACAAGTCTGTGAATTTACTGAGCGTCATTGTACTGGGGGAAAAAAAGGAAGAAGGAAGTAGTAATCATAAGTACAGATATAGGAAGTAGTAAGTTCAAGTTGAATATATCAATTTGAATTACTGAAGGGGAAAAATTTTATGAAAGAATAACAATAAACTGTTTTTAAGTCCTATTTATTATCTGTTTCTCCTCTACTAGAATGTAGACAGGTATATTTACCTGCTAGGTACTGATGTATCTCTCAAAGGTAGTATAGTACCTTTGGCACCTACTATGCAGTCAATGCTTATTTCATTGCTGCATGAAAGCTGAATGAAGTGAAGAAAGCCAAGACATGTTAACAGATTTAGCACCTACTGTCACCTTTAGTTTTTTGTCTCACCTCTCTGAATATACTGTGTTACCTTTATAATATTTACTTTATTTACCTGTATAATATTTTGAGTTCCTAATAGAAAAGAATTTGAAAGTGCCTTGTAAACTAAATACTATGCAACTACAGATTAATGTTTGCTAATCACAAACATAAATCTCTTAAGAAAGAAACTTTAAGTCTTTTAGTGGCAGGACATATGCATTACATGTCCTTAAAAATAAAGATAAACACATAATATCCTGTTCTGTATGTTCCACCAACGGGAAGAAGAATGGGCGAGAAGTTAAAGCATCTCCTCCATTCTTCCCGGCAGCACTGAGCATAATATTTTGCATAGCATGTGTTTAAAACATGTATCTTAAATGGAGGGAAGAGTATGCATGTGGGTGGGAGAGTGTGAAGAAAGAGTCAAGAGGATGAAGGTGAATATAGTGAGAAGCAGATAGGAAGACAAAAGGAGAAAAGAGAGCAGATAAAGACACCATAAATACTATCTCCTCTTCCCCTTCCTCCTCTCTATCTCCCTTCATTTAATTCCCTATCCATCAAATGTTAACTTGAAAATGCAGTTCTCAGAATCTCTGGGCTTCATAAACAATTGCCAGTGGTGTTTCAACCCTGTGTTTGGCCTTCACAAGGCTGTAACTGTTACATATTACAGAAAAATACACTGTGTAACTGCATAAATGACTGTATATAAACACAGCATGTATTTATCCATACAAACACAGGCTAAAAGCTTAATAAATGTGCAAATGAATAAATAAAACTGGAGTATCAGAATCACCATCTCTAAAAGGGTAACCTTTATAAAGTCAGGAATTTGATTTTGCTAATTCATTCAGTAGACATTAGATTCCAAGAAACTGAGTCCTATAACTAAGATCATAAGAGAATGTGGATGAATGTATAAGTCAGACATAGGTATGAATATATGAAACTGACTCAGGAATTAATTACAGTAACTATAATTTGCTCATAGATGAGGGAAGATCAATTTGGGAAGCACATTGATAACTTACAATGTCGTCATCAATTAGAGATGTTGTATTATCTCTAGATAATTTAATATTGTAGAGCTCTTGAGAAAACAAGCACCATTTCCCTGGAGCAGAGTTGTACTCTTTCCACAGTTTTAGCACCAGCTTCGAAATCCCCCCAGTTCTTCCTTACTTTAGGTCCACCAATGGTTAAAACAAATGGAAATAATTAGAATCATCACCTGACATGAACCAATTATGGAGCTTACAATTTATGGATATTTAAAGGAAATATTTCATAGCCACAGAACATAACTGTTAAAAATCTTTTATCAAGAAAGTCATTCTTTAATAGATACTGACATCCTAAACTTTCTTAATATCTACCTCTTGATACTGGGTATATCTTGCTTTTGTGGTTGCCTAGAATATTTGCTGATTACAAAGGAGAAAAAAAAGTAGGTTAGTCATTTGAAGTTTAGCACTCTAGGAGAAACAACCAAAAAACAACCTACTTTGATTTTTCCAATGTGAGATTTTCTCTAGAGATAAGATACTTGCTAATAGGATGTGGGAGGAGAGGCACAGGAGAGATGAGTGATAAGAGGGCTGACCAGTGCTATTGTCCCTCCTGAAATCTGAATACAATGATCAAACCTCTGTCCAAAAAGATAAGGTTACAAAAAGGAAAATGAACAGAAGATTGGAGAGACAAGTCTAGACCAGGAAGATGACTATGCAGATAAATTCTGAGGGGAAGGATGTGAATATATAACACAGAATAGCTGTACACAGAATGCACTGAATATTTTAAGGGCTATGATTCTAGCACCAGAGAAACTGTAAGTGTTTTTTAAATGAATGAGAAAAAAACAGTAAAAGGTACACTGAGTTGGGCAGATCAATAAAGTCATATGAAAAATAGAAATATAATTTTCAAGAAAGGAAAGATATGGAAGGAATGGGCAGGGTGCCCACTTGGTAGTGGTGAATGGCACTACAATTTTGTTGGTGGGTGTGATGTGGTAGAAACATATATCAAGGTGTAAAGCTGTATTCCCAAAACTTACATAATACTGTAAACCAGTAGTGATTCAATACAAACTTTGTTTAAAAAATGTCAAACTCTAATATTTTTGACTAGAGACTCAAAAAATGCCAGTATCTCCTTTGATAGAAATACAAAAACATGACTAGATACTTTCTACTTTATTAGTTTTTAATTCACAGATTTGGTTATTTTCCTACTTATATCTTCATTTTCTTATCTGTGATGGCACCTTTTCTTCTCATCATAATGATTCTTTGCTGTTGTTAAGCCCTGAAGAGGCACTTTAAAAACTGATGACGAGAATCAAGTATTATGTGGCTAAGGTGACTAACATTCTTTAAATGTAATTAGTTCTATCTTCAAACTATTCAGCACAGTTTGGTGGGAGGGGACAGGTAGAGAGGGGCAGGCTCTCAGTCTGGAATAGACGGATATATACAGAAAGATGCATGTACCCCCTCTAACCCCCACCACCCAATCCAGTTAAGCCGATTCAAGATTTACTTAATTTAACAAGCTGCCACATTGAGAGATGTCAAAAACCCAGGAGGATTTATTTCATCAGTCACTTGTGGGTAAATTGTAAATGCTTTGGGCTTATCTATAACTAAATGAGATTTTTTTGCAAAAAAAAAATTTTATTTAGGTAGCTCATTTTGAAAGGAAAACAAGGAAACCGCTTTGAGGCAGAGCACGCATTCTCCAGTTCACCAGAGGCCCTGCCACTCCTTGCTCTCTTATACACAACCCACTTTAAACATTACACCTAGCTGGTTCCTCCTGGTATGATGTCCAGTTTGGGAAATGCAGTATGAAGAACATCTTGCTCTGTTTGGAGATGAGAACTAAGAAGGTAGAGTCAGATATTGAGGCTAGGTGGGGTAGTTATGAATTAACAATCTAAAATAACAGAAAATGTTGAGCACATGGAACAGAAAACGTGAGGGAAAGCAGCAAGGACAGGACTTCACCCAACTATGGAATAATTGTGCCCAGTTCAAAGCTGATCACATCATTCTCGCTTTTGTCATGGACTGTAGGACACCCAAAGTGATCAGGAAGATGACAAACCGCAGGCTACCCCAGTTCTTCCTCTGACAGACAAAGCCTTGGCAATTTAGCTCAGTGGGTCTCCATTTGATAATGACTCTCCCCCAATTCACCCCTCTCCAGGGGAGAAGAGGAAAGCATGAAAAAGAAAAGAAAGAAACAGACCTTTACTGAGTTAATGACTACTGATAGGAAAATAGGATGTTTATTCTTATAAGACTCTCATCTCTTAATATCTTATTATGAGAACTTCCAATTCTAGGATGCAATAAACACACACACATGAAAGTGAAGGCACACACACACACACACACACACACACACAAACACACACACACCCCCCACTCCAAACAGTAATGGGTTGGATTGAATATTCTAGGCCATGGACAAAAATGTTAATTTGTAGCCGTAATTTTAAGAGAAGTCTTGATTTGTTAGACTCAACTGTTTGTTCTAAGGCTTACCCCAAAAAGGCCTTTAATTACACAATCAAAATATTTTCACATTTTGCTATTCATAATTTTAACTATAATCCACATTAGTTGACTCAATAATATTATATATATATACATATATGATTAGTAAAAAAAAGTGTGACTAAGGCAATATTTCTTCAAAGTGGGTCCCATAAATTACTGTTCATGGGATGATAATATGCCATACACACACACACACACACACACACACAAACACATCACAAATATATACAGATACACATGTCAACACAATTTAATGATTAAATAGGACTAACTACAAAATTTGCAGGGTCTTATTTAAAATAAAAATGTAAATCTCTTTCTTAAAATCTTATGCAGATGTTGAAGATGGTGATACCAGAGCATAAAACAGGCATTTGTAAGCATGGAGTCCTATAGCAAAGATTGCACACCCCTAAAACCAACTCTAGTGAAATGGTTTAAGAATGCTCAGCTATAAAAATGTTATATGGATTTTTTTGAGGCAGGACTTCTGAGAGCCTTTTATAATCTAACGTGCACAGAGTACTTTCAGGAGGTGTCTATACTATAGGGCAGTCTCCAAATACCCTTGACCAATTTCTTTTGAATTTTTATAAGGGTCATGTTCAGGACCACTGCTCCCTAGAATACACACTCTAAAATGCAGCTCAGGCTGTGCAGATAGGCTTTATCTGGTTTAACATCAATTTGTTAGTCACAAATCACATATGACATCATCACCATATCTGGAATAGGTAAGTGGAGATAGCAATAGATGTAGATGGTGCAGATTCACTAAATCTACCGACCTGCGCTATTTAGCTGTTTGCAATTCAGTGGTCAAACAGTCCAAGTGTTTCCTGGGCCAGTGCAAATGGTTTAACTGAGACTATTTCCTCACCAACTTAGGTTTACCCCTTATCATCAATTAAGAGGAAATAACATCCTTACTTACCATTACCCAATTCCCAAGAAATGTTGTACTTTTTGCTGGCACTGTACTTCAACAGACTCAGGGCACTAGAACTGTTCCAGGAGTTATTGGGATTACGACGCAGTGCATTTAGAGCAAATATCAGGTGGAGTCCAGAGCAATCAGCAAAGTTATAAAGTTTGTCTAGAGACCTGGCTGGGAAGAAGCAGAGAAAGGCTTGTAACTTTCAAATCAATATTCAAAAATATTAGCTACTACAAAAAAAACCTTTCTATGAGCTTCCCACTAATAGGAATTACACAGTCAGCCTTCTAAAAGTGACTATTACCTCTCGGGTTGGATACATTTCAAGGTGATTTTGGAAAGTAGCACACACAATTTCAGGTAGAGGCTACATATTGGCAACCCGGACTATTTCATAGTATGTTTCATCTGTTAACAAAAAAATTGAATTTATGATATTTAAAATGGGTAGATATTTTTAAAAACCACTGAATCTCTAGCTTTCTTAAAAAGCCAGAAGATCTGATAATTTTAGGGTCTATATTCCTGAATGACATGATAAAAACAGTGTCAGGAGACAGGGTCAAGAAAAACAAAAGGCTGATGAATCTTGGAAAATAGCTCAGCCTAACAGTGCATCCAAAAAAAATTCACTCAACCCTGATAGTTTCAATATTTCTGAGAATTTCCAACTTCTGAGAATGTAAATACCACAATCATTAGTAGAAATACATTCAATTGCAGTTTATCCCACACACCATCAACTCTATTTACCCAGTATCCCATGCCCAATCAATTCCTTAATTTCATTGTCACAATTCTTAGTTAGGTTCTCACTTCTACTTGCATGAATTACCACATCAACATCTCTATTTGCCTGCCTACTTCTAGATGCTTCCTATCCTGCCAATTCATCTCTCCCCAATCTCTTTAATCAATTTCACTCATCCATCAAAACCTCAGCGGATCTTCAAGACCTTTTTCTTCCTAGGTCCAAGGCCTCTGCTACTCAACCATAATTTTCTACCCCACCCTCAAACCTCTGCTGTTCTCTATGAGTTCTTAGTTATTGTCCGTGAGTTCTATTTATTCTATTGGTCTTTGCTCTACTTATTCTGCTCATTTGGCATGTTCTTTTCCTCTTTTAAGCATATTCAGCCCTTACTTGTCCTTCTAGGCAGTGTTTCCCAAAGTATGAACATCATGGCTTTAAGTGGTATACAGATTGAAAGAAATTTTTAGATTAATAGTTATGTAGAGGGGCTCATATCCAAGTTGTTCATAGTAGCAATGACAGGTTATAATTTGTTCAGTACACGATGAAATACACTTATTTTCCTAACTTTTAGTTTCATTTATAAAGTAAAATCCTCTTTAAACTTTTACATTAAAATTTAATATGGACAATTGATCATATTCCCACTAAGTAGCCATTTTCTTGAAATAATGATCTCCGTACATTGAGGATTTCTTGTGTTTGTTTCATGTATATTAGAAAAACAAATACATATAAAACAAAAAAAAGCACAAAAATTCTGTGATTTCATGGATGTGAAGCTTTAAGATGAGGCAAAAGGTAGGTACCAAAAAATAAGTGTCATTGTGGAGAAATAACATTATAGATGGTTTGATAACATGATAAAATTTGAGAACTAAAAAGTTGAAAGTTTGTGAAATACTTTATTATGGATAAGTTTAAATCCTGGCTCCTCCATGAAGCCATTCCTGAACACACCTATATTACGACAACAGGATCAGCCTTCTCTAAACTCAGACTCTTTACCAGTTAGCACTGGAGTGTCCTGTGACAGTCTTAACTTGAAATTGACTTGGTAATTCATCTATCTCCTCAGACAAATGGCTTGTTTTACCAGCTAAAATGTCAAGTTTCTTACGGCTGGAATTAGATCTCATCATATGCACACAGCATCTATCAGAGAGCAATTTCCTACCTTAAAATCATGCTGACGAAATTCTACTTGTTGCATAAAAGTGATCTAATAAGAAGCTGAAAGATCTCAGAGAGATCTGTCTAGTACTTATAATTGCTAGTGCAAGTGATTCACTCTTTGCTATATTATAAAATTACATGTATTTGAATATAGAGTATTAAGTAGATGCTCAACAAATGTCATCTTCCTTGGAACATGAGTTGTCAGGTTTCAAGAAAGCAGATCCTGAAAGATGACTTTCTACTCTCTCCACCAGAGGGTGCCCACGCCTCTGCATCCTCTAGTCATCCTGCTTTGGCATCTCATTCAAATAGAACTCATAGGAGTCTGTCTGGCAAAGAGTTGAAGATGAGGAGCTGGGGCTTGAGAGAGATGTGTGAGAGAATAGGCTTGGAAGTCATCTACACAGGGTGGGTAGTTGAGGCTGTGAATGTTCTTGAGACTTTTGAAGAACAAAATAGTTGAGGAGGAAATCTTAAGGAAAGCCTAAACAGAGAGGTCAAAAAGAAGCAGGGGAAAGGGCGAAAAAGGAGACTATGCAGAAATGTAGTCTCAAGGAACCCAAAAGAAGAGAGTTTCAAGGAATTTCTGGTCAAGAACAGTAGGTATTGCTGAGAAATTGAGAAGAAAATTGCCTGAGGGAAAAAAGTCATATGGTTCTCAAGCAGTAAGTTTAAAAAAGTCAATTAAGAGTGGGGATATGAACTTAAAGAATGAGTTGTAGATAACAAAGAATAGACTCTGGTACATCTAACTTGCTTGTAGAAGTTCAATGGCAATCATAGGAATAAAAGAAATGAAACAGTAATTAGAGAAGAAAATGTGCACCAGAAAATGTGCCGATGAGAGTTAGGTTTAAAGAAAATCAAGATCTGAGACAAAATCTTGGTTTTGTTAAAAAAGCCATGTGTATATTGAAGCTAACCAAGTTTTACATTAGAAACATGCAATTAATACGTACTAATATATGAATGACAGTAATTTTCCTCAGTTTCCTTGGACTTGGCATTTTCTTAATCCCGCCCCAGAATTAGCCTCTACCTCTTGCATTCTGTTTGTTGGTCATTTATTTCTCCCAAAGTAATGGCTACTCTACTTTCTGTTCCCAATTCTTTGTCAGGGTCTACTGACATTATCTCAGATTGTGTAAAGTGTAATAAAGTTCAAAAACATGATACTATCCATCCCTTTCCAAACTGATGACCACCTCTAAGATCCTCTTCTAAAAACATGATGGAGGCCTCCCCTGGTGGTGCAGTGGTTGAGTGCTGGGCTGTGAAGCTGCCCGCAGCCTCTGCAGCGCCGGTTTGACCCCCGGCCGCCAGCGAGGGTCCCACATGGTGCAACAGACCTCTCCTTCCGCCCGCTGCTCCCCTCAGCAGTGTATTTCGTCAGTCTGCCTATTCTGCTCCCCGCTCTGGCTCTGGTGAATTCTCTCACCCTCCCGCGCTTCTGACTGTACCCAGTGCTTGTATAAATAAATAAATAAATCTTAAAAATAAATAAATAAAAACATGATGGACACATGTGTATATCATCTGGGAATTAAAGTGATTAACTCAGTAATTTTGTTTTCCCCAGAAATCTATCAAGATCAGGCATTAAAGTTTCTTCATGACTCAATACCCAAGACCCACCCCAGTATTAACCAAACCCCAAACAGGTCCTTTTCAATTACATGATTCCCACCATTTGGGTGAGGGAGGGGCAGCTTGCCACAGATTACTAACACCAAATTATTTAGTTCTGTTCAGGTATGGCAGTGCTCTATATTTCATTATTCTTGCAGATGATAATCTACTCATAGTCTCTGTGTGCACAATTAGAATAAGCTTGACACTACTGCACTCGGCACCAATTTCCCCATTTGGAGTCACAATACTGGCCACCAATAGCTAAGGGTAAAGATCATGTTCTGATCCTTAGACACACAAAGAACTCTCCCTTCACAGGAGGGTTTCAAAAGAACAAGCGGTTATAAAGCAAGTATTTCAGTCTTTCTCTCTCATTTGTTTTTTTTTTTTTACTAATTAAGGAATGAATAGGATTAGATGGCATCCTTAAAACAAACCATGTTTTCTGTGCAATACTTGCTTACACTTGAACAAAGAGTTTCTCAGCACTAGTCTCCTGGAATTTGGGCCATATTAGAACTCCCCATTATTCCTTGAAAAACAATCGACATTTTTCTAGTTTTCCTTGTTGGTTTAAACTTTTTTATCTCTGCCTGGAATGTCCTTCCTTTTCTTCATTCTTTGTAGCCTAGGTCAAGGGCCTCCTCTGTGAGGTCCTGTCTGATCCCCTATGATAGAGGCACTGAGGGTCCTCCTCTGGTCTCCCAGTTCTTTATTGGCTACTTTAGAGCAATAAATAACCATGCTTATCATTGTTCAGCTCTGCCTCTCTCTAAGGCAGACAGAAAAGAAAAGGTACTGTGTCTGTTTGTTTTCTTTTTAAATTATTTTTAAGCATCATTTCAATGTCTGATACACAATAAGCCAAAATAAATGTCGGACTCCTACAGGTGTTATTTGGGTCCATTCAATGCCAGTTACAATCTGTCTGCATCCTAAACAACCAACCTTAATGATCATTGATTGTAGCAGATTCTTTCTAAATTGTGTCTGTTACTCCATACTGCTGGATGCACTCAAATATGCATTGCATTAAGTGTTCAATTTAGAGTAATGTGGAGGAGACATAGGTGACTATCTAAGAGAGGCTGTAAGAATATAGGACTTTCTAGTGGAAGTCAGAGGGAAAAGATGTGAGAATAAAGCAAAGTGAGGTCAACTCTCAACCAACTCAGTCTCTGTAATTCAGAGAAACTATCAGTTAATGCGGAACCATTTGAATCAGTGACTACAACCAGTAAGATAAGAACCATTTTAAGTGTAGCTATTAAAAGAGAACAGGTTGAAAATTGCCTAGAAGGAAAACAGCTATTTCTGAAAGAGTGAAGATATCTTTAAGCTGAGAGCTAATTTTAATATGAAGAGAAGTATCTCCAGTTTAGTCAAGGCAATGAAACCTTAAGTAGGTTATAAAGAAATCAGTCTACAATTTGACTGAAGCTGTTAAAGGAAAATGAGATTTGGGAAATGTCTGTGAATAAAACTTACAGCACTATCAGAAGACTCTGGGCTAGAGTCTAATTGTTGCATTAATCAATTTAACTAAAGGGAAAACTCCATGCTAGTAAATATAGTGTGGCCACTGATCCCAGCAAAGTCCATCTAA